TTTCCTATTAAGGTGGCCACACTTTGTCTTGAGGGAGTAAAGGTCTCTGATAAAATCAACCCGCTTGCCTGAGCTGCCGTGAAGAGGCTGGGCATCCTCTTGAAGCCAACGCTGCTAACTTGGCTGTTCTGGGTCCTCTTCCCTCTAGATTCTCCTTACTCACTGCTCACAGAAACTTCCACAGGAGCGAACCTCCCTCCAGGTCTTTCTCTGGTGTTGTAACTAGGAAAGCCAATTCCTCTAAGGATAGCTGATCACAAAGTTGGAGATTTGCCTTTATCTAAACAATTTCAAAATTCGGGTCCAAGGACCAGCCAGATAGCTCAGCAAACTAAAGTGCCTGCTTAGGCAGAGCACAGCGGCCAGGGTTTGATCCCCAGCTTGCTGTGTCAACCCCGCTCCCAGGGTGTACTGAGACAGTGATTGAGACAGGGCGTGGTGGCACGCGCCTGTAATCCCAGAGTTTGGGAGGCTGAAAACAAGAAAATCCCTAGGAGTCCTATCTACATAGTGAGACCCTGTAGACCCCGTGCTAAATACATTTAAAAAAAAAAATCTGGTGCAAATGGGTGGTTCTGTTCGTAAGCAACACATTTATTAGAATTTTTGTTTTGGCATTGCTAAACATTGCCACATTAGGAAAGACCCTGCTGTGTTCTGGTCTCTGAGTGTGGAAAGAATTTAATGGGGGCATTAGATTGTTAGAATATTAGACATGTAGAATTTAGGGTTAGCCCTCTTTCCTATTACATGACTATAAAGTTGATTTAAGTGAAAGGTGCATTGATAATGTTAAATTGCTACAAGAACAGAGTGCTTTCAAAATAATAACAGAGACTGGGCATGGTGGTCCATGCTTATAATCCCACCTCTTGGGAAGCTGTAAACAGGCAGATCACTACAAGTCCAATCTAGTAGGTAGACCCTTCCCTAAAAAAATTAAAATAATAATAATAATAATAATAATAATAATAAGCTACTTTAGCCAGACTAGAATAAATTTGATGTATAACTGGCTGAATTCTATAATTCTCTGTGAAGTACATCATTTTTCACTTGATCAAAGGTCACTCTCCTCATCCTTCATATTGTAAATTAGTTAAAAGTCTATTATCTTTAATATTATTATTGAGGCATTTTGTTATGATGAAAAATTCATCAAATTTGAGGTTCAAAGATTAAGCAAGCCTTTTCTGTCCATCCCTCCAGGATCCTGGCCCTCCTTTGGTGTCTCACCCTCAGTCCTCCCACCTCTAAGTTGGGAAATACTAGAAGTCGTAACGCTAATGATCAGGGAGCAGAAGGCAAACATTGTATGTGAAAGGCATTTGTAAGTGGTCTTGCTTTATTAGTAATACCAGAAACAGCATTACTATTTGCTCTACTTTCTAAATAAGAAAACAGCCCATCAGTCCATTATATTTTTAGTAAAAACAAGGCCTTTTTCATTTATTTTCTGATGTAATACATGCAATGGTACTAAAAAAAAAAAGTGAGAAAAAAAGAAGGGAATATAATCTTGTATTTTGTTTTAAGTACAAGGGGGATTAGAAAGAAAACAAGAATTCCCCCCCCCCACCAGGGATTGAACTCAGGCCCTTGTGCTTGCTAAGGAAGAGCTTATTCCACTGAGCCATCTCCCCAGCCCAAGAATTTTTGAAAATATAGATTTCTAGGGCCAGTGAGATAGCTCAGTGGTCTAAAGAGCCTGCTTAGGCAAGCTTAGGCAAGCACAGGGACCGTGGTACAATCTCCAGCGCCACATGCCCTGCCAGCCCCACCCTAGGGTGGGCTGAGCCAGCTGCAAAAATAAATAGATAGATAGATAGATAGATAGATAGATAGATAGATAGATAGATGATAGATAGATAGATAGATAGATAGATAGATAGATAGATAGATATAAAAATACAGATTTCTATATCCCTGATAGCTATGAGTATGAACGTATGAAAACTGCATCTACAACTCTATGTTGTATGTGTATGTGTTTAAAAACCCAAGCTAAATAAGTTACTGTAAATCTGTGTAAAATGCTAAACTCAGTCAGAATTGATGGTTTCAAAGTTTCATATGCACAAGGTAGTGAAATCCATGCTAAAACTGTAGATTCTTGGGTCTCCACCTTAGAGACTCTGAGTCAGTCTTTCTTGGCAGCACCCAAAAGCCCTCCTCCGTATGGCTGACCTGCGTGATTCTGATGTTGTGGGCAGCCCTGGAACCACCCCAGAGACAAAGTCTACAGAGTGAATGGATCATCACTGGGCACGTTGAGAATAGTAGAGACAGCGTGCTGTGTTCTTTTTTTCCAACAATAAGGACTCACGGCTCAGCTAATGTTTCAGGAACTGCAGGAAGGAAGGGAATAAATATTTTGAGCTCAGTTGAGATGGAAAGGTAGAATGAGAGAAAGAATGCCTGAGCACAGAAGACCTCAGGAAGCTGACGCCACTCAGAACACAGAGTTAGGAAGCGGGCAGATAGTCCTGTTAGGAAAAATGATCTGAGACTGAGGGCATGGAAGGCACGAGAAGTGGACTCCCGAATCCAGGAGGCGTCTTCTGCGAAACTAACGGTTCTTTCCCCCTCTCTCAACCTGAAAAGCACAACTTCCTCCATTTTATTTCTAGAACACTTGGAGAAACTAATGCAGCTTTTGCTGTTTCACAGAAAACCAATGGAGGGCTGAAGAGATAGCTCAGTGGAATAAGTGCTTGTCTGGCAAGTGCAAGGTCCTGAGTTTAATCCCTGGTACCAAAAACAAAACAAAATGAAAATGAATGGAACATCCCTAGTGGGTTTTGGGGATCATCAGTACTTGCTATGTCCAGGAGATGGTATTAGATGCTTGATGTTTGGCGAATATTTCCATCAAAATGTTTTTAGGCTTTAACTCTATAACAAAGCACAGGCTTGAATCTAGTGTTTAAACTTCAATGCCCCAGTTTATTACAAGAATCTCAAATTGATCTATCTCAGCATCTGAAAAGTAGTTTTCATTTGGGGATCTGCCTTTGATATGAAACATATTTCCTGTTAATTAAGTGCACCAGCTGATGAAGTGGCTACCCACAAACCAGCCAGGAGCCTAAGAAATGGGAACCAGTAGAAGATGACATCCTGCAGGCCACTAAATATCTCCATTTGTGGAGAAGCCTCCAGCCTGAGGAACTAGGTGAACATAATTAGAAATACATCTGGGCATTGGCCCCCTGTCTGCAAAGGTCACAAGCGCACCTTCCGTCGGCACTGGTTGTGTGTCATCATTATGTTCCGTCCTAACTCATTTGTCTCCCACTGGCCACCAGATGGCCGTGATAATGCTGGTGTCCTTAACAACTATCTTCTGCAGTTCCCGCAGCATGGTGAGGGCTTGGAATATTGAATGTTTTCCCTTTGGATAAGCAAGTGACAAGTCTGGGGATGGCTTACAACCATGCAGATAGTGTGGTCGTGGAGAGTGACAGAAAAGTGGGTCATGGAGCCTAAATTCAGCGTGACATTGGGGACATGGCATGCTACCAAAAGAGGTGTTTCCTAATGCTCTAACTTAGGGTGAAGGAGGGATATAACCACACCAAATCTGAGTTTTATAAAGGAGCACAAAATACGGTGAGATGTAAATAATCGTTAGAACTCACTGAATTGGCTGAGACACTCCTCTGAGTTAAGTTGCTTCTGGTGGAGCTCTCTCGCAGCGATGCTTGGGGAGTCCTCTCAGCATGATCCTACCACAGATGCCAAATCACCAGATGGATTTAGGAACATTAAAAGATAGGGGTATGGGTATCGGGAGGGTTGAGAAGATGGCTATATCAATCAAGTTGAGATCGATCGTGTTCCAGTGGCCCCTATACCATAGCCCTTAAAACGCTGCAAGTTTTATTTTCTGCTTATTCTGGGCATTAATTTTGGGTCAACAAGAGGCTCTGCTTCATGATTGCTTCATTGGCTCCATGATCCAGCCTAGGCGAGTAGCTGTTATCTGAACCATTATAGATAGCCAGTGGAAAAATGATTATGGTTGGTGGGGCACAGTCTTACTATTTTTTGACAGGATCTCACTTGGTAGTTCCATCTGGCCTCGAATTCACTATGCAGTCTAGGCTGGCCTTGAACTCGGCAATCCACCTGTCTCCTGAGAGCTGGGGATACAGGCACGCGCCACCATGCCCAGCTTGCACTTACTATTTAAAGCGGCCGTTGCTTCTGTCACACTTCACTGACCAAACCTAGGACTCCCAAGAAAGTGGGAAGCAACGCCTTCCCTCAGGACCAGAGAGAATGGGAAATATTTGCTGCAGAGCAATAATGTGAATGGCAGAGAAGATGGCAGTACTACCTGGACCCGCAGGCGCCTCTCTGGGGCCACATGACCTTTTGGAATTTCCAAGTACCTCCAAAACTTCACGACTCCATACAAAAGTAATACCAAACTCTATGAAGAAGCTCCACAAATTTATGTTTTTCCCTACCGTGTTGACTTTAGTACTTAGAAAAACAGGTCAGATTCGCACAAAATAGTTTTTGATTCTACAACGCTCCAATGACACAAACATGACTTTAACGTGTCCTGGGGCTACCTTGCTCCTCTTTTCTCCACTGAGAGAACCCTAAGGCTGTGTGTGTGCGTGGGTATGCATGTGTCCGTGTGTGCGTGGGTGTGTCTCTGCACTGATGAAGTAGGGCAGGAGGAGGCTGGAGTCACCAGACTGGGATGAGGAAGGAGTGAGAGAAGGTCCCCGGGGAGAATAATGTCTTTAGTCCAGTCAGAATAGTGATTAAGGATTGCAAACGTGCGCGACCACGCTCAGGCGGACTCGGTCAGTCGTGAGCTCAGCGCGCCCGGGGGCAAGGCGGGCGGTGTGCAGGACCGCGGATGGAACGCTGGTCCCTGAGCTAGCCAGAGCCGCCGCTTAGTGCACTGAGCTGTCTCGCCGGCCCTAATGTTGCCTTTCTTGCGGGAAGATGATAACAGGAGTGCTTTCTCATTTGCTTAGGGGAGGACGAGGAGGACGTGAACGTACTGGTGCTCAGCTACCCTCAGTACTGCCGCTACCGCTCCATGCTGAAGCGCATCCAGGATACGCCATCCTCCATTCTCACGGACCAGTTTGCGTTAGCTCTGGGGGGCATCGCCGTGGTCAGCAAGAACCCCCAGATCCTGTACTGTCGAGACACTTTTGACCACCCCACTCTCATAGAAAATGAGAGTATATGCGACGAATTTGGTGAGTGTATTTTTTTTCTGCCTAAAACTGTTTTTTGCACTTTCGGTGAAGAACAGCGAGGGGGAGTGGGCTGAGTTTCACAAACCCATGTCTCATCGCCCCCTGCCCTTCCACGGCTGTGGCTACGGCATCAGGACCTTCCACCTCTTACCATTGGTAAAATATGATTATTTGCAACTTGCTGTTTAATATAAAGTTTGAAGTCTCTGGAAATTAGACCTCAGGACAGACTCAAAGCTTTGGGGATCATTTGTAAAATGCTGTGACTATTCAAATGTGAATTATTTTAAATTCATGTGATCACTCTCTTCTATAAGGTACTCATATAAAAATGCACAGACTAACTACTTTGCACAAAATAACTACTTTGGTACTACAAGTAGGATAGATAGATAGATAGATAGATAGATAGATAGATAGATAGATAGAGCTTCATATGTCCGTGGTATATTTCCCACATAGACACATACTGCCCACCAAAGGTGGGGCTCGACACACATTTATCTTTATCTACATCTCTGCCAGCTGAGTGGTGGCAAGGAGACCAGACGGGGGAACCTGGCCTGGGAATCGCTCCTGGCCTGGGAATCAGCGTCTGCGGCTGAGCCGAGCCGCCTCTTCTCCATACTTGCACCTTCTCACTCACTTGTTGCGAAGAATGGGTCATGCCGGGGTTCCTCCATGAGGGGACATGTCCTCACCCAAGCCCTCCTCTGGGAGACACCCCTGGAGATGGGATTTGGGGGCCTGTGGGCCCCTCGGGCTATGGAAGAGGCTGAGCTCTCCGGTTTAGAGAGGAGCATCAGGTCCCTGTGGGCTGGCACCTTCCCTGATGCTGCTGGCTTGTTTCCCCGAGGACCCCTCTTTGTAGATTACCTGCCTTCCAGTTATCCTGCTTAGCCGCGATGGACCTCGGCACTCTTTGGAGATCCCCATATAGCCTCTTGGATACCATTCTTTATGACCCCAAGAGCCCTGTTGCTGCTCCTGCAAGGGTTTCTGTTCAGTAGTTGTGTGAAGACAACTCAGTGGGGTGCAAGGGGATCGGATACAGTGAGCCAGGAAGCGAGGCAGGAGGGAGGAACAGGAAGAAGGCATCGCAGCTCCTCAGTGGCTAAGGCCAAGATGTGCCCGTGTATAAACTGATGCGTCACATGTCATCTACGACTCCTGCTTCTCAAGTGATTCCACATGTAAAGAGGAAATAGGGTTTGTACAAATTATATTTCCTCCTTTAAAGAAAGATGTTTTCATGCCTGCGGAGATAGCTCGGCGGTCTAAGTATCTGCTTAGCATGGGCAAGGACCGAGGTTCGCATGCAGCGCTGGCCCCACGCTGAGTCACCCACTGAAACCGGGCATGGTGGTGCATGCCTGTACTCTCAGTGCTGTATTCTGGGCTGTGTAGTGAGACCCTGTACCAAATAAATAAAATGTTTTCTCTTATGTGAGAAAAGCAAAATATAAATAAAGAACAACAACAACCAAAAAAAAGGATGGGTAATAGGAAGTAGGGAGAGATCTTTCCCAAAGACGGAAGGAAGTGGAATCGTCAGACTGAGGCAGAAAAAAAGAGGGCAAGGGCATGAACAAAGAATGAAGATGCGCTACCTCCACGGCTCAGCTCCTACACCAGACTGACCATTAGTAATGCTAATATACTAATGTACTACAGAAAAATAAAAACTGGAAATAAATTACACAAAAACAATACTCATTGTTGTGCTTTTAAATCTTTAAATAACCTTTCATTCAAGTAGATCAAGATATCCGGTATACTTTTTTAAATCCTCTCTTTTCAGCTCAGCTTTTGCAAACCTTCTCTTTCAGTACTTGTGAGCTTCTCCTCTTTGTCCCCTGCGCCCACACTCTGTGTCCTGCTTGGTGCTCAAAGGGACTGTAAATTCCTGACGCTGAATAAGACTGAAAGAACATTTGCCTTCACTTAAGAGCATTTGAAATTAGAGTTTCACAATATAATATAATGAAAAAAATGTCTTAACCTTTTGGACTAATTTAAGAGTTATTAGTCATTGAGTTTCAAAGCTGCTACATCTAGAATTGGTCTAGAAGTTCCAACTCAACAGTCATCACAATGGTTGTTAAGAGTCACCAAATTAGTTGTAAATGTTCTCACAAACACAAGCATCTGACTTTTGAGTGTTTCCCTGGACTTCACTCTGTTACAGCTAATTTCGATGCTTTTTTTTATTCTTTAGCCTCTTAAAGTGGAAGCTTTCTTTTGGAATAAAGGTACCTTTAAAGAGCTTTTAGACAGCCAGCTTAAAAATTAGAACATTAGAGATTTTAGTTGTTTGTACTTCATGTAGTTTGTGTTTTGTAGAGTAGCTTGTGTAACAAGAGAACAAAGCCGCTCGTCCCGACCCGATCCCATCACCCTCCCCAGGTGCCCCCTCTGCCTCCTATGTCTGTCACACATTTACCTTTTCAGAGAATTCTGAACACCCTTTTCAACTTCCAACTGGCTGTACTTGAGATCAACACGGGTTAAAGTGTTCGTTAAAATGTGGCATTGGGTTTCTCTAACTAACAGTTGATACAAGAACACAAATTTAATTAGTCACTAGCCTTAAACAAATGTTCCTAATATTAAACACTGCCAGGCGACTGGGGCACTTTGGTCAGATGACCGAGCATGTCGGGGGACCCGTGGATGAATTTCCCACACAGTATATATTCTGTACCACACGTCTGGTGACTTCAGTAATTGGTTCAATGTAATTTAGGTAACAGTGTGCCTAGGGTGTACAAATCAAATTTTATTAGCCATATCACCAGGTGGATGAATAGTGGAGCTGATGGCCAAGAGTTTACCGCATTTAGCAGCTACACCTTTGACACCTGAAATACATAAATTGATGTAAAATACTTGTAAAGTCCTTCTCAAAAGAACCCTGTCTGCTTTTCTATGATTGAATGATGTTTACTTTATTGATTAATGTATTTTTTGCTTTCTGCTAGTAAATAGGATTATGGAGTGGAGGTGGGAGGGGTATGCAAAAGATAAAACATTTCTTGCTTGTTTTAATGACTTTAAATCTAATTGAGGAAGACAGGATTTTTGCACCTGACAGATTAGCTAATATTATAGGAAAATCAATGGTGAAGTATTTGCCAGGTGTCACACAGGGCAAGTGCAGTAGGGGTTTAGCAGTGAGCAGAGGTGGCCAAAGGTGGGCCAGAAGAAAGGCCGGGGAAAGCACCCTAAAAGGTAGGAGTTGGCCTGGTTTTAAAAGAGCCCTCAGGCTTTTAGGAAAATACTAGAAAAGTGCAGTGCTTAAAACCCACATACTGCCTGTCCCCATGAGCCCTTGGCTGCCCTCTACCAGGTCAGCTGCGGGTCTCTCTTAGGCTTGCTCTGCTCTTCATTACTCGTCATTTGGGGCTGCAGTAAGGGGTCTCATGTCTTTGCTCTGTTACTATTTTTTTTTCTTTTTCTTTTTCTTTTCTTTTTTTTTGTGGAACAGGGGATTGAACTCAGGCCCTTGTGCTTGCCGGGAAAGTGCTTATTCTACTGAGCCACCTCCCTGGCCAAGACTTTGCTCTGGACAGCCACCTTGCTCTGCTGCCCAGACAGCTCCCTGCTCCTCACTATTTTAATGTTGTCCACTGAATAACAACTTTAATTGAACAATAAAAGTAAGCGTTTAAATCCACAATGAGTCCCTGTAAATAAATTCTCTGTGGAATTTTATGAAGCTGTTTAATGAAAAGTTTGATTAGAAACTATTAAAGAAAAATAAAATAGATGAAATTTCATCATTTAATCCAACATTACAGTAGTGTAATTTTAATTTTTATTTACATTGAGATATTCAGAATAGTGTAAATATATTCTGGCTTTAATTAACTACCCTCCTTACTTGGGAAAGGTCATTTTAGGCTCAGGGGCTTTGGTAGTGCACCTTCTGCTTTCAGCACTGTGTTCTACTCAAGCCCCTTCCTTCCTTTAACTCCTACAATGCCTACGCCTCTGACATAAGCATAAATGGAGCCACGCTGATGGGGTGTAACCGACAGGCTTCCACCTTGGAGTCTCCCCATGTTTCTCCCTCCTGCCTGTTAGGCTGCCCTGTTAGGCTGCCCTGCACATGGTATGTTCTTTCTCAGCACAAGAAGCCTGAGTATTTTTAAAACTAAAACAGACGACATCCCATGAAAGCATTATGAAAACTCATTGTATTGCGCATGCAATGAGGAAATAAGATTATAATAACAAAGAAGGGGCAGCGGCATGTATGGCAATTTTTCTTCATAAAAATCTCTAACCTTTGCAAAATTCTTGCCCCAACTGTTCCGTTAGAATCTCCTGACATGCGGCACTTGCCAACAACCCTTAGCTTAATTTTCCTCTTTTTTAGAGTGATTCCTCTTTTATGAAACACGTGCTGCCATTTATACGGTACTGATGCCTGTCTGTGCTTTGGAAAAAACATACCTGCAAACACTTTGTCGGCTTTTGCTGTTTGAACAATAGTCTCCACCATTTTGTGATGTACAGTGTTTACATTAATATCACGCAGATTGATTTCACACGTGTGAAGTGTTGACAACTAAACCCAAACAGAGGCCTGGCCTAGCGTAGATGAATGGGTAACGGAAGGTCCTGGCTCCCATCAGAGAGATGAAAAGCAACCCAGCCCGCAGAAGGCGGGGTCTGCAGTTCTTAAAAATGGGTGGGGCCGAATGGCTTAGGCTAAGGATGATTTCAAAAGCCTAACATGTCTTATTTTGTTCGGAGCTTTGAATTGCAAAGAGACACAGAACCCACAGTCATGCTTCTATGTTTGTGGACATCCTGATGTGTTTGGATGTGTTTCTTGACCAGGAGTGCGATGGGGTGTGGTGGTCACTCTTGTGGACAGCAGAATATTGAGACAGACTGTCAACATGGGCAAGACATGTTCTGTTTCTCTGGGAAGACATATTCTGCTGGGCCTGGGGGTGGATGGCAGGGTGCAGGGAAGAGTCGGCCCTCAC